GACTCAATGTCCCTGTCACAGAAACAAGGTTTTTGCTGGCTTCCAACTTCCTCCACAAACGAAAATCACCTTATTTCGAGTCCTTATGTGCATAGTCACTGCAAAACACAACTAATAAAGGCTCTATACCTTGAAAAGAAGGCGAGTGACTTAGAAGAACGAATGCCAATGATGATTGATCTGCAGCTGGGAAACCTGAACCAAAGTAGAAGACCACAAGAGCCTTCATTCACTACTCTCATCATATTTTGTAAGTCAAATATTTGATGCTAAGTTTCTTGATACTTTTATACTGCTCAAAGAAGTCGCATCATCGTTCAAACGCCACCTTACTCTTGTAAGAGGGACTCTTTCTTGGTGGAATTTTCTTCCTTTGTAATTCTCAAAGTAATCAATGACAAGTATGCTTTCGTTAGTGTATTATTTCTTTATTTTTCTTGAAAAGGTAAGGAAAAAGGAATCTTCTTTACCCCACTCTCACACTTTATCACTAAGCTTAAGTAAACGTAACATAGGTGTATGTATGTTAGATTATTTATAAGCAGCTTGTCGGAATGTAAAGTATCTAGGATAAGCTTGAATAAGGAGAAACGCTGTTTAGTTCAACCTGCCAGATAAAGTTTCATAAGGCAGTTCATTACGCTAGACTGTTCCTAAACCTTATAAGAAGATAATTCTTACATGTCTCTGCTTCACTCTACAGGTCACTTCAAAAAAATTTGCTCTCCATCTTTATTGCCTACTGTTCTTCCTCAATTTCTAACAGCACTACAAAAGCTGTCGTAAATGTTTTGCCACATGTTCTGTTCAAGAGCAAACAAACAGTAGAGCATGATAAGGAAGACTCCAATCTTTTATTAACGAATGTCATATGATTGTTCATAGTAATGAATCTCATATATTTTTCCCTGAACAATAGAAACTTTTTAGCGTCGACCAGGATTTTGTTATGGTGCTACAATTAAGGCTGTGCATGACCGCGAAAATCGTAGCTTAGATTTAGAGTCAACATTGCTTCGGAAGTGTTAGGTTAGCAGAAGTCCCGTAATACACCAAATAAGTTTTGCAAAGGGTCGAACACCATTCTCCAAAATTCTCTGCTGCCATTATCCCATGTAGTGATCC